GGCAGTGAGTATGTGTTGGGGTGACCCTCTTGGAGGACGTGAAAGTGAGGTTCCGCTTTCCTGCACCAACCCCAGCCCCATTACCATGCACTAACCCTTTGGATATGCGAGGTTTATCCCAAGGGACTGACTGACAGTGCTGGCACACGCCTTTAATCCCATCCCAGCACTCCAGGATGGCAGCCAGGGCTACACAGAGAAGCCCAGTCTCAAAAAAACAAAAACAAACCCGCAAAAAAGACTTATCGGTAAAAATCCCAAAGTCTGTGTGTCTGTGTGTCTGTGTGTGTGTGATGATGCTTGTGTGAAGGTCAGAGGGCAACTTGTGTGAATTGTTTCTCTCCCACCATGTAGGACTAGGATACTGAACTCAAGTGGTCAGGCTTGGCTGTAAATAACCTTACTGGGCCATCTAGCTGGCCCTTATTACCTATTTTAATCAGTGTATTTAGTATAATCATTAACAGTCTAGAGGGGCCCAAGAGATGATTCAGTAAGTAAAGGCATCCACCACAAAGCCTGACAACCTGAGTTAGCTCCCTGGATCCACTCAGTAAAAGGAGAGAACCAACTGTTTTCAACTCAACATGTACTCACATATACTCTATGACTATGTGTCCACATACATAGTAACCTTTGTTTGTTTGTCTTGATACAGAGTTTCTCTATGTAACCCTGGCAGTCCTGGAACTTGCTCTATAGACCAGGCTGGCCTGGAACTCACAGAGTTCACCTGAACTTTGCTTTAAGTATTGTGATTAACGCCTTTAATCTCAGCACTCGGGAGGCAGAGGCAGGTGGATCTCTGTGAGTTTGAGACCAGCCTGGTCTACAAGAGCTAGTTCCAGGACACCTTCCAAAGCCACAGAGAAACCCTGTCTCGAAAAACCAATATATAAATAAAAAAGGGCTGGAGAAATGGCTGAGAACAATTGTCTGTGGATCCAGTTCCAGGGGATCTGACACCTTCACACAGACATACATGCAAGCCAAACAGCAATAAAATTAAATAGAGAGGTCTGGCCTGAGAGGTGAATTGGGTTTAGGAGCATTCTTTGCTCTTGGAGAGGACCCAGGCTGCATTTTCAGGACCCACATGTGCTGATTTACAAGCACCCATACTTCCAATTTCAAGGAATCCATGCTCTCTTGTGACTTATTCAGGCACAAAGAAAGGTCATGAGGACTGGGGATTTATCTACCATGTGCAATGGGCTGGGTCCCAGCCCTGCATTAAACATTCACCTTATGAGTTGGCACACTCCTTAGTCCTAGCACTGGGGAAACAGAGGCAGGAGGATCTCTGTGAGTTCTAGGATAACCTGATCTATATAGCAAGTTCCAGGACATCAGAGGTGTACACACACACACACACACACACACACACACACACTCAGTAGTTAAATAGATATTTTACAAGAAAATATGCAATGATCAGCAGGCATTGGACGTTAGAAATTAAAACTATAATGAGAACTGGAAGTGTAGCTTATTTGGCAGTGTTTGCCTAGTATTCTTGAAGCTCTAGGTTCCATCCTAAACACCACATAAACTGGCTAACAGCACAATTCTGTAATCTGGCCGGAAGATGAGGAACTCCTCAAGGCCGTTCTTGGCTACATGAAACCTTGTTTCAAAGTGGGAAGGAGTAGATGGATGGCTCAGCAGTTAAGAATGCTTATCCCTATCTGGTGGCTCAGTTTGGGCGATGTAACATCTGGATTCTGTAGGCACCACACATGAGGTGTTGCATACAGGCAGATACACACATACCCAGAAAATAGAAATAAATCTCTAAAAATGTTGATTCTTCTTCTGGCTTGGGGATTAAGAGGGTTGCCTGCTCTTCCAGAGGTCTTGAGTTCCCAGCAACCACATGGTGGCTCACACCATCTGTAATGAGATCTGGTGCATTCTTCTAACCAGCAGAGATACATGCCAGCAGAGCACTGTATACATAATAAATAAATAAATCTTAAAACAAAAGATGCCCTTTCCCTCACAATGGCCTCTTTGATGTGCCCATCACCCAGGCAGGCTGATTGCTCAAGTGGCGGTTCCCCTGGACGCGGGCCATGCATTTATCACAGGCTCCAGTAAAGCAGCTCTCAACAGCAGTGGCCTCTGGGCTTCCCTGCACTGGAACTGCCAAACAATTCTCATCCCCCTCCCCACCAATGGCCTCATTCTGTCCAGCCTCCTTTCTAAACCTGAGAAAATGGATTTCCCTTCCTTTCTTGCTAACATTTTTCACTGCACCACAGCTGCTGTTTTTTACCAGTCTTTTACTGTGACCTCTCAGTGCCCAGAGCAGCCCCGGAGCAACCCCCAGCTTTGTTCCCGATTCTGAGACCCCCTGTGCTTATGTGGAGCCCCACCTCCCTCCCCCACTCCCCGCCTGGAATCCCAGACCTATAGTCCCAGCACTTGAGCAGTATAGGGAGAGGACGAGTTCAAGGTCAGCCTGTTAGTATGGGGACTAAAAAAATTCTTTTCTCACTTCTGTATTACTCAAGTTTTTGTTTTTTAAAAATTATCTATTGGGCCAGGCAGTGGTGGTGCACACCTTTAATCCCAGCACTCAGGAGGCAGAGGCAGGCGGATCTCTGAATTCGAGACCAGCCTGGTTTACAAGAGCTAATTCCAGTATAGCCTCCTAAGCCACAGAGAAACCATGTCTCGAAAACCCAAAACAAAAAAGAAAAAAAGGTTGGCCGCACTATATAATCCCAGCACTGCAGAGGCCACTCTGGCCCACACAGTGAATTCTGTCTTAAAACAACACACACACCTAAAGCCCAAACAGAAGATTTTCCGTGTGTGCACAGAGACCGGAGCAGGGCCTCAGGTCCCCTGATTGGCTCTAGGTTCTAGGCATTTGTAAGGCACCTCTTGGTTCTTACAGATGAAAAGCAAACACTCTGTCCCCAGTCACCTCACCAGTGCTTTTTTGTTTTTTAAATTGGCAAATAGTTATGTACATCTGTGAAAACAATACTGCATTTAAAAAAAAATTTAAATTTTGGGGTATTTTTGAGATGAGACAGTTTCTCTGTGAAATAATCCTGGTTGTCCTGTGTCCTGGAACTCACTCTGTAGACCAGGCCTGCCTCTGCCTCCCAAGTGCTGGGATTAAAGGCATGCACCACCACTGCCAGACTTCTTTTTCCCAACTTATTTTTAGATGAGATTGTACATGTTTAGGACGGTGTGGTTGTGTCCCACCTGGGTCCTCTGAGTAGTAGCCATCTCTCTAGCCCCTGAACATGTAAGGTTTTTAAATGTTTACCGTATGAACGGAGTGGACAAACACGTACAGTGCCTGTGTGGAGCTCAAGGACAACTTTCCACAAGCTGCTGCTTCTTTCACCAAGAGAAGTTGACTGAACTGAGATCATCAGGCCTGGTGGCAACTCCCCTCACCCAATCATGTCTCTTGCTGCTCCTAACTCATCCTGAGTGACCTTACACAAGTCTGCCCTGGCCAAGTTCACCACCCCACCTCCCTGCCCTCCATTTCTAGAAGTTTGGACATAGCCATCTGAGTCTGCTTATTCGGAACACTTATCCCTGAGCCCCTCAGAAATGACTAGCAAGGGACAAGCCAGTCACCAAAGTAACAGATTCCCTTGTGGCCTGCAGGGGGATCTTGGGTCTAATGTGCCATGCCTGTTCTCACTGTGCCTGTTCTCACTACACAGGGAGAGGAGGCTGAGGGCAGAGCAAGACCCTGGTTTCACTAATAGACAAAATCGAGATGTATCCAGCTGCCTCTAGCTCCCTAGTGCTGGGATTAAGGATGTGCACCATTGTTTCAAGGAGAGAAAGCCAAGGCATGATGCGTACTCCTCAGGGTGAGCACGTGAGTTAGAGCAGGGCTTCATGAGGTCTGCAGAGCCCCAGTTCAAAAAGTAGCACTTTAGGGAGAGAAAAACCAAGGCTGTGGAGGAAACCCATTTACAGGCTGGCCTAGGTAGGACACAAGGCCAGAAGCTGCTGACACCCCCTAAAAAAGTCCAGATTAAACAATCCCAAACAATATGAACACAAACACCACTGCTGGGGTCAACAGAAAGCTACAACTCGAGACACCACCAACTGCCACCTAGTGGCCAAAATTACCAAGGACTACCAGGACTCTGCAGGTAACCAAGACCAACTACAGCTCTGAATTCCAGCCCTAGCTCTCCAAACCCTAGGATGGACTTAGGGATGCGGTGATTTTACTTTGGCTCTTTTGAGGAGCGACTATCCAGCTCCCAAATAAACTACACATGAAGCCTTATGAATGCCTGGCCTTAGCTTGTTTCTAGCCAGTTTTTCTTAACTTGTCCTCTCATACTGTCTGCCAGCCCTGTCTGTCCTTGCTCTTGCCTCACTCAAAGGTCAGTCAGCTCTTTTATTAAGATCACCTAGTGTTTCAATGAACACAGCTTCAGAGTTAAACAAATGAAGCATAAAAAGTCACACACACACACCTAAAAATGTTCCCCAACAGTGCAGCTTTGAAACTGTACTGTGTCTGCTCTGCCAGCCTCCCCAACCTATCTATGGGTGGCCAGTGACTGACCTGCAGACCAAGGATGGAAGCCTAAACCACACCTGAACTCTCTTCTGGCCCACAGTGAGCTGTGTGCAGGTGACCAGGAAAATGGGCCTCTTACCTGGTGTTCAAACACAGTAACACTTATCTCCCCAGAAAGCTGCCATCCATTCTCTCCCCAGGCTTCCCAAGTCCTCAGGGCAGCACTTTCAAGTCTGTCAGTGTCAGGTTTTGATTCCCTGGCCTCTCATTCTAGACAAACAGCCATACCCACAACATTGGGATGTGTGTGTATGTGTGTGTGTGTGTGTGTGTGTGTGTGTGTGTGTGTGTGTAGACAGCTGGGTGGTTCCTACTCTAGCCCAAACCAGGTGTTACACTTGAGGAGGTGTCAAGGTCACATCAACTCACGAACTGCCCTTAAACCAGTCCCTTTTAGGCTATACAACAAAGCGGGCACATTTTTCTCAAAGTTTATTCAAATAATTTCAAGGTCACTGGGGCGGCTGACCACGTCCACGACCAAAGCCTCCTCTCTGCAAGAGACAAAGCACAAGATCATTAGCACCAGGCCTAGCTCTGTCTCTAGGATTTCTAGCTCCCAGGCCTCACTGTAGACACCCACAAAACTAAACAAGTCAGAGGAGCACAGACCATTATACCCCAGTAAGTCTCACCCCTTACTGACTGTGGGACCTTTGACTTTTCAGTCTGTTTCCCCATTGTTAGAATGCGGTTGGGATGGCTAACCCAGTGTTTAGACACATGGAAGGCCCCAGCTCTGGGGTCCACAGCCTACATACCATTCTATACAGTGCAACTGTCTGTGATGCCCTGCCACAGGGACTCTAGAGACTACAGCCTGGAGTAGCTCGTCTACAAGAGCCTGTATAATGGCATTATAGTTGTCCCCATTTCAGAGAAACCAAGATGAGACCTGAAGGTAATGTGATTCTGGAGCAATTCTACTCTGGGACCCACAGAATCTCCAATGTTTAATTCAATCTCAAACTTCACAAAACCAATTAAGAGACTGGGTCAAAACCATCTAGCATGCATAGGTACCAACATGAGATCAGCATGAATTCAAAGTTTGCACACTGTGTTCCACTACAAGACTGATCCCGGGGGAAGAGGGTGTCACACCCCCCAGAACCCACTAACCCACTAGGCTACCCCATGCGGCAGTGACTATGAAAAGCAAACAGATACTCACAAACTGGAATTCTGTGGCTGAGCCAGCTCCTGCCTCAGCTTTCTTGTCGGCACCAGCTGGAAAGAGAGGTGTAGAGTTGTCTTAAGATCGCATCTCTGGTGTGGGCGGTAAGGAAGACAAGGCACAGAGCCCACACGTGCAGGAGAGGTCACCCCACCGAGTCGCAAGCACAGCATACTAGTAGTGGAAATCCACGGCTGGTCTCTGCTTCCTCCCCTCTCAGACCCTCCAGTCACCCTTCCCAGCTCACTAACCACCCCCCTCACTCCCTCCTCTAGGAAAGCCGCTCTGACCACAAAAGACCAAAGCTAGCAGAGGAAGCTCAGCATGAAGATCAGGGCAGTGAGGAAATAAATGTAGCTTCCAGAATGAGAAAGCAGCAGACGTAAGGATAGCAGGGTGTATGCCTGGAACTGTGAAGCATGACACGTCACACTTCAAAGAGGGAAGGGAAAAGTAATGTAAAGTATCTGTGCTCAAGGAGGCTAGACGGTAAAGTGACAAGTTACGCTAAATATAATGCAGAAACAGCCAAATAACGTTTCATTAATCGTAGGTTGTGCACTGTAACTCAGCTCCCACCCATTGTGTGAGGAGCCAGGGTCAACAGAACAAACACAGCTCCAGTGAGCATTGCAAATGGGGGACTCCTCTGTCCCCTTCATAGCACAGCCTGCTGCTGGCTACTTCCCGCCCTCTGAACCAGGGTCCCCACTTGAATTTCCCCTGACAGGGAGCTGAGGAAGTCCATGTGTTCACTTCCAAGTACACAGAATGCAGAAAGGTGCAAGGAAGAGAGTGTGGCCCATACCCTTTTGTCCCGGGCTCCCCCACATTCCTCAGTCTGCAATGTTCCTCCCCTGAGAGCTCGTTCACCTGGCTCTTCCAAGGTGAGCTTTAATCCTCACCTCTGTAAAGCTGTCTCTGCACAACAGCAAACTACAGTAGCCTCCCCCACCACTAAATAAAAGTGCAGTGCCAAGACCTTCACACAGCAGGCACCCAACACACACCCATTGGTGAACAAACACCTGCTACTCTGGCTCAAGGCAAGGACTTCCTCTACTCAAAAGACAGTTCCTATGGAGGGGTCAGGCGACAGAAAGCATGCTGCTCTCCCTCTGAGAGGTCAGCTCTGTTGAGGACAGGTCTTCAGTGCCCCAACACACTGGCCAGTCTCCAATTCCCACACCAAGGACTGCAGCCCACCCAGGGGAGCTGAAAACCTGGACTCAACCCCAGGCAGAGAGGAGATACTCACGGGGCACAGCACTCCTCCTGTAGGTGTCTCTGTCTGCCTCCCCTCTTGTGAATCTTGCAGGTCGCTCACCTTCTGGACCTTCAGAAACAAAAGCGTACCATGAGCACAAGGCAGGAGTTGAGTAGAGCAGGAAAAGCTGGCAGTGCAGTGTGCGTGTGGCTGTCACTGGAAAGCACGGACTGTGAGGGCATCGATTCCTCAGGCCCTGTGAGAACAGCCAGACTTGTCACTGTCACAGTTTGGATTCTTCACATCTTGACTAAAACAGACAGGCCAGGCAGTGCTTGGAGGCAGAATAAATCCAAGGCCAGCCTGGTCTCCAGAGAATCCCAAAACAAACCAGAACCAAGCAGCCAGTGGTAGTTTAGCTCATAAAAGATGCTATGAAATCCTGGGACCTGAACTTGACCCCAGATTCCCTGGAGGGAAGACCCAACTTTCAAATTGCCACAGGATACCCACACGCCTCCTGCACGTTACCCCAAGCCACTTACTTAGCACATATTCACTTCAAATGCAATTTTTTTGAAGGCAGAGTCTAGCCAGCTTGCCTCTCCTTCCTGGGTGAACGGGGGATTAAAGCCACCACACCCCAACTACCAAACCTTTTCTTCATTTCGTGATTTTTGTGGGACTCACAAAATCTCCCTGTGCAGCTCCAGCTGTCCTGAAATTCCAACAGTGCCTCTTCCTCCCAAATGCTGTAATTAAAGGTGTGTGCCTCCACTAGCTCCGCAGTACCCGAGTATGGCAGACCCAGGTTTCGCCCAGTGGCTCTGAAGGTCCAGAGACCCCTTGGGCCCTGACGACACAGCCCACTAAGGACTAGTAGCTCTCGGGTACTTCTGTGTGCACCAAGCGCCTGTGCTCCAGCAACCTCCTAACCCTGTCACCTCAGTCTCCAGCTACTTCAGAGTCCCAGGCACAACACAAAACCTCAGACACACTTCTAACTCTGTTCCTCTTGCAAAGGAAATGCACAGGACACTTCCTTTCTTTTACAGACAGCTCTACTTTTGCCTAAGAACAAGTCACCCAGCGCCTGCCACAGCATCTGGACATGTAGACAAGCAGGGAAGCAAGGGCTTAGACAAGAAAACTACTTGAGCTTAATGCCATCTCATTCAGTTCAGACATTCCAGGACTTGGCACCAATGTACTCTAAAAGCATTTCTGGGCGGGGGAGTGCTGGCACACACCTGTAAACCCAGCACACCGAGGCTGAGACCGGAGGACCAAAAGCTGTCCAAGAGACCCTAACCCTGCTCACTCTTTAACACTTTCTAAGTTTCTAAGGCTTGTGTGGTATTTGGAACCCATACCTTTGGGCCGAGGCCTGCCAGTTTCAGGACGGCTACGGCGCAGGGTGGCAGGCACGATCTCCGGAGGTAAGTGGAGGTAATCCCGTAGATACTGGATGCCCTCGTTGGTGAGATACCAGTAAAAATGCCTCCATGCAAATTGCTCCTTCACATAGCCTCGCGACTTCAGCGACTGCAGGACAGGACCACTGTTAGTTAACACACAGCTAACCAGCAGACCAACGTGGAGCAGAGCAGCCATGCAGTAAGCAGGCCAAGGCCGAGAGATCCCTGGAGGTCAGGCGTCCCAAGCCTGAAGGGTCCTTTTGGGCAAGCAGATAGGAAGACAGACCAAGAGGCCTGGCCTCCGCCCTTGCCCCGAGGGGACACGTTTCCTCCCCCTAGCAGCCCAGCCCGCATCTGTGAGGCCCTCCATACCTGCATCGCCTTCATGACATGAAGGTTGGGCACGTTCTTGTCTGCCAGCTCGGGGTGTTTGGGCATGTGGACATCCTTCTTGGCCACCATCACCCCCTCCTTAAACAGGAGTTCATAGATGGCGATCCGGTTCTTTTTGGGCATCAACATCTACAACAAAGAAGCGATCACGAGAAGCACATGGCTGGCCCAGGGCAACCCCAGCTCGCGGAAGGCAGAGGCCGGCAGACGCGTGCGCGCCGGTCGGAGGCCAGCCTGGTTGGTCTCAGTCCCGTGACAGTGTCCCTTAAAGGAAAACAACAGACAACTCGGGCAGCCCGGCGCCCAGGGTTCCAGGACGCAACCTGTCGCCAGAGTGGAAACTAAAGCGACAGCAGGGCAGGTTCACGGGCGTCCAGAGCACGGCTGCAGGGGACCAG